AAGACCATTACTTGGATGCAGGAAATAAAGCAGCGCGCACGAAAATAGTCAGGCGTCTATGGATGCGGAGAACCGCGTGGAGACGAAATAGCGCACCAGGCGTGGGCACGGGCAGTAGGGCACCGGGGCAGCAGCACACACGGAGATCGAAGCCTGAAAAAAGAATACGTCTCTGCACTAGATGAGGGGCATACCCTCCGTTGTCTGATATGTTGATGAAATCCTGCAGAAAGTGCCTCCATGGGCGTAGGTTTGGGGACGCTGGGGACATGTCCCCAGCAACATTTTAACATGACTAAATTGTCCACACAATATTTTAGCAAACTCCGTTATGAGTTTGTGAAGCGATTTAAGGTCAATTCCGACCGCAAACTTGAGTGGTACTAGAAACGCCGTAATTTGATTGGCTAAAACCTAGGGAGGGAGTTATCTGACCACGCTATAAGTACACGGAAGACTGAAGACAGCATGTAAATACATTTTTACTATTCAACTCTACATCCTAAGTGTCTGCACGATCTTTACACAACTATCATTATTTATTCTGTGACTACAGGGGGTATTGGTTCAATGTTGTGAAGATCAGTTATGCAGTGGCTATATATTGTAACCTGTGGCAGTCACGCTACTATCCACAAGGGGCATTAGTTAATGCATGGGAGTCATCCTGCTGCTGTTTCAAGAACTAAAAATAGCACACATCTCCATGAGATACACCGACATTTTACATTACGATTTAACCTACAACATTATGCCAGCTTCTTATAGTGCTATATAGTCATATTGACTACCATCAACAATAAAAAAATGTACATTAAAAATCGGAAAGTAAAAGAACCTCCCCGTCGGGGAATTGAACCCCCGGTCTCCCGCGTGACAGGCGGGATACTGACCACTATACTAACGAGGACACGCTGTCAACCAGCATACTTCAGTTTAAACAAACTTGTCTGAAAGAAAGTTTACCCACGCTGCACTAGTTTAATCATGTATTTTATGGAACGCCAAATGGGTCACAATTCATGCGTTCAAAACGTGATTGTCAAACGCCTGCGCCTGCTATAAAACGCCTGCGCCTGTTTACAAACGCTTGCGCCTGTTACATAAACGCCTGCGCCTGTTAGCAACGCTCAGGTAACGTCTGCGCCCGTTAGAAATCATGCCTGCGCTCATATTGGTTCACTCGCTTGACGTCTGCCTGCGGATAAAACTTGCAGGTGTTGATAATCGCTTGTGTTGATTTACATATCCACCTGCTTGGCGTGAACGCGGAAAAGACTCCAATTAATATTACGACTTGAAGATCTAGTTTCGTTGTTATATTGCCCGGCATAGTAGCCCCAAGACTTATAATTCCACACTTCTCTAGAAAGACTAAGAAATTAAACAAATAATGAATGGCCCGCTGTTTTGTCTATGGCAGTGCCAGTATGTGTGTATGTGTGAGAAACGTTGGCTGAAAAGATGTAATAAATAACATTGGAAGTGAAATATAAAAGTCCACGAGGGCACTGTGCTAGGCAATGTAAAACAAACTAGCGAGCGTTGCTAACAGGCGCAGGCGCCTATGTAACAGGCGCCAAAGCGTTTATGTGTAACAGGCGCAAGGTTTATGTAACAGGCGCAAGCGTTTATGTAATGTTTAAGATAAAAGAGAGAACGGTTGTGTTTGCACACAACTAAATATTAACTAAAATAGAAATCTTCCTGCCGAACTGTTCCTGACAGGCGGGGATACTGACCACTATACGAGGACATATGCAGAGCTTTTGCCCTTAAAAACACAAGTGAGCAGAGTTAAGAGAATGTGATATGAAACCGATATGAAAACCCCCAATATCAAAACCCGAGCTAAAGCGTGACGGTGGAGCAGTGGCGGCGGGGTATACGTAGTATACCACCTCTGAGAGAGATTTACAGGGGGATGCACGTCGAAAATGAAAATAAGAATGGTAAACTGAAACACTCGTAGTAGTTCATGCCACATAAAACATTGCACAGTGGATATGAGCCGTCATGGCGCATTACTGGTGTGGCCCGGCAAGTGAATCTTACTGAGAATAATGTGACATTTTTGCGTTTAGCTTGAGATAATAGCCTGTTGCTTTTTAATGGTAATGCTGTTTGTCAGATTCAATATATTGTGGTGATCAAAACACATCTGCCTCTACTAGATATTTAAATAGTTAATATTACATAAGCAAAATATAGCTACAGGAAACATTTCACTGTTTGGCTAGACGTAAGATTCTTAACATATGGGGTATGTACACAGAGCACTGGTAACTTGCTCGCTGTCTTCAGTCACTCCTCCTGGGTGTAGCTTAGCGTGTCAGGCTGGTCTCCCCAAAGCAGCCAACAAATTGTTTAGTGGTTGCATTTTCAGTTGTCGGAATTGACTAGCTGTTCACATACGGAGTTTGCTAAAATATTATGGGACAATTTAGTCATGTTAAAATAGCCAGTTAGTGATTACAAGAAGCGTCTCCCTACCTGCTGCCCAGCAAGGTGAGGCACTTTTCGCAGTGATTCACTGAACATATCAGAATGGTGGGCATGCCCTCATCTGGCGCAGAGAGACTTATCTTTTCTGGGTGCTCTGACCCGTGGTGCCACCCAGGTTGAGCCCGGCGCCCTACTGCTCGGCGTGCCATTTCAGCCTCAATGTGGGCCTCCGCATCCATGATTCGGAACACGCGCGCCGCTTTATTTTTATATCCAAGTAATGGTCTTGCAACGGATCAAGGCTGTCACATGAGTGCAGAGGATCCGAACAGATCTACAACATATTGCCCCGGGTGATGGGGCAGCCTTGTCGCACGCCTTGGGCCATTGGTCGAAATGCTGGCGGCGTCATTCCCTCGGGTGCATCCCTACCTACAGTAGGCTCACTCAAAGATGACTGATCAGATAGGTCTGCCCAACCTGTTCAATCACCAGTGTCATCACCCAGGTGGCTTGAATGGGATCGCAGGATTATGACAAGCCACTCTTGTTCACGGTGCCATAGAACCAATTTCTAAACAGGGCAACGTAGGGGGAATCCGCTCCGCCTCAATTTGATGTTTCATTCGTTACATTTGTAAGAAAAAGGAACAGGTTGGCATGGGTTCTCTACTCGCCACAGCAGTGGTTCCCGGCGCATTTCACATGTTAGACCGCCAATCTAAGGTTGCGGTTCGAGCTCAGACGTTGCGTTTAGTTTTTTGCAGCCATCCTTACAACTGTTGCCTTGAGCCAGTAGTCATCTCTATGAAATACAATACCTTCTTAATGCTCTGCCTAGAAAACGTGATTGAACATTTACTATGGAATGTAGTCCACAGGTAGGGGAGGTCTTGCTACTGAACAAAGCCATTCTCCAAGAAAATGAGTCAAAGGTTGCCACAGGGGAGGACTGTGTCTCCACTCCTAACTCAGGACGCCTTTTTTTTTGAAATAGGGATTTTCAACTATTTATTGTGCTTAACTTATGAATCTTTTATTAAGCAGAACTGAGTATGAGGTGAGCCAACCGTTATGTTGCACATGAAGAACTGTTAGCAACCTTCCCCTGTGAAACAACTCCTGTTTCTGGTTTTTTGAGCAGTGTTTTGTCAATATACATTCTTCTGCCCAGGATTAACAAACCCGTAGTAAATCTGGCCTAATTTCCTAGGTGACATTGTACAGTAGAAAGACTCATGTATCAAAGTGTGTATTTCATAGAATAATCCTCATCTCAAAAACAAGTCATTATAGGAACAGCCTGTAGCCGTAAAACTAAAAACATCGTCTCAGGAAATGAATTAATAACCTTAGATTAACATTTAATGCGCTAGCGCCGTGCCACAGACAGATAGCAACACATCGCGTTATTAGTTTACTGAGGTTTATACTCATCAGCAGCTCGCACACCTGGGTTGTGAGCCACAGTTGTTTGTCTGGAATACTATTTGAATCACATTTTTCACAACATAAAAAATCTTAATATGAATATATACTTCAGAAAGACTTGACAGAGTGGCAAAATACACACAATAAATTCCACGTTGGCACACCTTGTTCTATCTGATGTGGAATTTATTATTATTATTATTTTGCCACTGCTGTAGGGAATTGTGAAACTTTCAAGTCTGCAAGTGTATATTCATATTAAAGATTTTTATGTTGTGAAAATGTAATTCAAATAGTATTCCAGACTAAAACCTGTACCAAACGTGTGGCTGAACCAACAACCTTATATTATGAGCTACTGATGGAGCTAGTAAACCTCAGAAACGAAAAACTGTATGCTTGCGGTGTATTGCTATCCGTCTCTGTGGCGCAATCATAGCGTTAGACTGTTAATCTAAAGGTTGGTAATTCGAGCTCCAGGACGTTGTGTTTTTAGTTTTTGCAGTACAGACATTCCTATAACTGTTGTTTTGAAGTTAGGGATTATTCTATGAAATACACTTTGACATGAAAGTCTTTCTACTATTTTAATGTCACCTAGAAAACGTGATTGAACAGATTTACTACGGGTTGTTGTCCACAGGCAGGGGAGGGTCTTGCTATTGAACAAAATGCACTCAAGAAAACCGAAGCAAGGTTGTTTTCACAGGGGAGGGCTACAATAGTTCTTCATGTGCAACCTGGAAAAGCGGTTACAGCCACCTCATACTCAGTTCTGCTAATAAAGATTCACCAAAGTTAAATACACAAATAGTTAAAGAAAATCCCTATTTCAAAAAACATACGTCCCCAAGGTTTAGAGATTTTTCGGAGATTTTTTGAATCCCTCCCCCTGTGAAAAACAACCCTTGTTTCAGTTTTCTTGAATGGCTTTTTTTGTTCAATAGCAAGACCTCCCCCGCCTGTGACAAATATTCCATAGTAAATCTGTTCAATCACGTTTTCTAGGTGACATTAAAATGGTAGGAAAGATTTCATGTCAAAGTGTGTATTTCATAGAATATTCCCTAACTTCAAAACAACAGTTATGGGATAGTCTGTACTGGCAAAAAAACTAAACACAACGTCCCCAGTGGGCTCGAACCACCAACCTTTGATTAACAGTTCACCGCGCTAACTAACTGCGCCACAGAGACCATGCGCGAGAAAATCCAGGTGAGCCGAAATACTTTTATCACCGAAACAATACGGCCGAAATATGTTGTGATCTATTCGGATCCTCTGCACTTCATCGCGACTGTACTTGATCCGCGTTATAAAGACCATTACTTGGATGCAGAAATAAAGCAGCGCGCACGAGAAATGATCCAGGCGGCTATGGATGCGGAGAACCCGCGTGGAGACGGAGAAATAGCGCACCGAGCAGTAGGGCACCGAGCAGCAGTACGGGCAGCAGCGCACGGAGCAGCCTGCGCACGGAGATCAGAGCGCAGAAAAAAAAGACTCGTCTCTCTGCACTAGATGAGGGGCATGCACCCTCGTTGTCTGATATGTTCAGTGAAATCCTGCAAGAAAGTGCCTCACATGGGCGTAGGTTTAGGGGGGACGCTGGGGACATGTCCCCAACAACATTTTAACATGACTAAATTGTCCCCACTAATATTTTAGCGAACTCCGTTATGGGTTTGTGAAGCGATTTGGGTCAATTCCGACCGCAGAGCCGGTACGGTACTAGAAACGCCGTAATTTGATTGGCTAAAAAACCTAGGGGAGGGGAGTTATCTGACATGCTATAAGTACACAGGAGAGTGACTGAAGACAACGGTAAAGTTACCAGTGCTTTCTGTTAATACATACCCCATATGTTAGAATCTTGCAGTCACAATAAACAGTGGAAATGTTTCCTGTGTATATTTTGCTTATGTAATGTGGCCTATTTGGGATATCCCATTAGTAGGGGCGGAGTAGTGGCACCACCAGGGTCGCTACAATATATTGAATCTGACAAACAGCATTACCATCTAAAAGCAACAGGCTATTGTCTCAACTAAACGCAAAAATAATCACATTATTCTCAGTAAAAGTTCACTTGCCGGATGGGGGGGGAGAGATGTCCCCACCGAAGCTGAGACCAAACCTACGCCCTTGGTGGCTCATATCCATAAATGCAATGGTACTAATAATTGGCATAATTTATTTCTGTGTTTCGGTTTTCGGTCTTGGTTTCCTCTTTTTCGGTTTTCGGTTTCGGCCAAGAATTTTCATTTCGGTGCATCCCTACTGCTTAGCTCGGGTTTTGATAATAGGGGTTTTCATATCGGTTTTCATATCACATTCTCTTAACTCTGCTCACTTATTTGTGTTTTTAAAGGGCAAAAGGTTTTTCTGCATACATGTCCTCGTTAGCATAGTGGTCAGTATCCCCGCCTGTCACGCGGGAGACCGGGGTTCACCCCGACGGGGAGGTTTTCTATTTTGTTAATGATTTGGTTGGTGGTTCGAGCGCACCCAGGTACAACTGTTTTCTCTTATCTTAAACATTACATAAACGCTTGCGCCTGTTGGGCATAAACGCTTGCGCCTGTTACATAAACGCTTGCGCCTGTTACATAAACGCCTGCGCCTGTTATATCGCTTCGCTAGTTTGTTTTACATTGCCTAGCACAGTGCGCCCTCGTGACTTTTATTTCACTTCCAATGTTATTTATTACATCTTTCAGCCAACGTTTCTCACACATACACACATACTTCAGCACCATGGACAATGCAGAGGTCCATTCATTATTTGTTTAAACTATTGACACTAGGAAAAGAAAATGCATTGAATTATAAAAGTCCACGAGGGCGCACTCAGCTAGGCAATGTAACAACAAACTAGCGAGCTTTCTTCAGAGTCAAGAATATTAAAGAGTGAGTACCGTATTTACATGAAAAAGGTGGAGCTATATTAAATCATACAAACGTTTATCTGACACTCCGTAAGCGTTTATCTAGCAGGCGTTTGTAACAGGCGCAGACGTTTCTTTAACAGGCGCAGACGTTTCTTTAACAGGCGCAGACGTTACTTTAACAGGCGTTGCTAACAGGCGCAGGCGTTTATGTAACAGGCGCAAGCGTTTATGTAACAGGTGCATATGTTTATGTAGCAGGCGCAGGCGTTTGACACCACGTTTTGAACGCATGAATTGTGACCCATTTGGCGTTCCATAAAAAACTACATGATTAAACTAGTGCAGCGTGGGTAAACTTTCTTTCAGACAAGTTTGTTTTTAAACCGAAGTATGCTGCTGACAGCGTGTCCTCGTTAGTATAGTGGTCAGTATCCCCGCCTCCGTCACGCGGGAGACCGGGGTTCAATTCCTCGACGGGGGAGGTTCTTTTTACTTTCCGATTTAATGTACATTTTTTATTGTTGATGGTAGTCAATATGACTACATATAGCACTATAAGAAGCCGGGGTATAATGTTGTAGGTTAACCGTAATGTAAAATGTCAGTGTATATCTCATGGAGATGTGTGCTATTTTTAGTTTGAAACAGCAGCGGATGACTCCCATGCATTAACTAATGCCCCTTGTGGATAGTGTAGCGTGACTGCCACGGGGTTACTAATATATAAATATCAGACAACTGATCTTACAATATTGAACCAATACTCCCTGTGGTCACAGATCAAATAATGATAGTTGTGTAAAGATCGTTGCAGATACTTAGGATGTAGAGTTGAATAGTAATAAAAATGTATTTTATGTTGACTTTTTTTTTATCAGTTGGAGTCCTTTAAGAGAGTTTGTGTGCGTCATGAGAAAGAGTTTGTATGGAAGGCCAAGTGGCTCAAAACGTGACACACTTCGTGGAGTGCTTGTGGCTGATAACGTTCAAATCAAGTGTAATTTAGAAAACAAGCGCTGAGATCGCCTTGTTATTAGACGTGCATTCTCCCCTCATGTCGCCTGAAACCAGTGTCAGAAGTGCATTTCACGCCATCACAACGCCTGTTCTACAACGCACGTGTTCAATAAGACATTCAAAACGAAAGTGTAATGATGTATTTTCACTTGATCTGTTCAAGTGTATGTACAAGTTTTTGGACTCGCTTACTCAAGTGTAATGTCATTTTTACACTCGTCATTTTACGTCTTGAATTATAGGATTCTCAGACGCCGTCGCACTTTGGCACCATTCATTTGTTACAGCGCATGCGTATTTTGAGAAGCTGATAGAATTGTATTAGTTCTAGCCTAGTGTTTTTAAATCTTTTTTATCCACTTTCAGTCACAGCATTGGATAGTTTGTGTTGTAGATTAATAGTGGAAAGTAAAATCTGAGTAAATGTGACCTCTGTGTAATGTCTCCTGCCTGATAGAACTTCTCAAACATCCTGCCAGGTTTGTGGTAACAGCAGGTTTATTCCATCAGCATCTGCATTCATGACAAAGGATAACAATCGTTGTCATCTCATGTGGGCAAACAGCGCATGCTCTATCTGGAAAGACGGCATCATATTAAAGTTAGCTAGCTATACTGAGAGACTTTTTATCAACTATAAACACATAACCAGATGGTTGACTTAATCGAAA